ATAGCCTGAGACACCTATAGCCTAAGACCCCTATAGCCTGAGACCCTTATAGCCCGAGATCCCCACAGCCTGAGATCCCTATAGTCTGAGACCCTCATAGCTTGAGATTCTATGCTATGAGGGTCTTGTGCCTACAGTGGATGCTGACAGGGCCAACAAGAGGACACAAGGCCCCTGATGTGCCACACAAAGCTACAGCTATTTCCTTGGGTCCCCAGATCTGAACTCCTAATGGACCAAAGATGGAATGAGAAGGATATGGGTGCTTTTTACATATTATTTTAATTTCTATATGTATTTATTCACTGTGTATATATATGTATGAAGGCCTGTGGGTATATCCTGAGACTGAACTCATGTCATCGAGCTTGGCAGCTGAGCTTTAGCTGCTGAACCATCTCACCCAGCCCCTGGGGTGCAAAGGGTGAGGTTTGACCCCAATAGCTCACTCCTGGGTTCGCCCAACCTCCCTGACCTTCAAGGCCACGCGATCATACTAAGTGGTCAATTCTGCCTCCAGTGTCTGTTCGCTGACTTTGTGCTGTGCACTCTCTGAGTGACATGGCTAGGTCTGTCTGTTCTCAGCATGTGTGTTCATCTGACATGAGATGTCCAGAGACCCCGAGGGGAGAGGCTCTGCAGCTGTTACCTGTCCTGAGATGACTAGTAGGATTCTGCTCTCCGGTAGCACAGAGCCTTTCCTCACGGCCCCAGGGCTGAGAACAAGGGGTTCTGATGTGTTTGGCATCAATTCTACCAGGTTAAAGGCCACCTGGAACCTTCTTCAGGAGCAGGTAGTCCCTTGGAGAGGTGAGCATGACAGATCATACCTTCAAGAAGCCACTTTTCAAATCCAAAACCAAATCCAAATCCAAAGCCACAGGTGGTTGGATTACAGACAGGACTGTTGGGCCCTCGATTACAACCTTGTCTAAGGAATCTCCCGAAAGCCTTGTGTAGACCATCCATGTGAGGATGGTGTGATAGCCTGCTTGAGGGAAGAGAGGCTACAGACTCCATGCACAGGAAGAGATGGTGGCCTCTGAATTGTTGGCTTGTTGAAGGTTCTGATGTTGGTCAGTCCAGAGGTCTGAGGGTCAGGATGCACACTCCAGGCTCTGTTTCTGCCTGTGTCCCCAATATGGTCCTCATTTGCTCTACCTGTCCCCGCCCAGGCTCGTCTCTGTGACCTGCAGCCTCTGCACTCCACAGCTCCGGCAGGGAGCAGGGCTGCATGTGGAAGAGCTTGGGCTCTGACAGCTCCGGTGAGGAGGGCACCCAGCATAAGCCCCACTCTGCCCTCACTGTCGGTGGATCTGAGTCTGCGTTCCACTCCATTCTTGCTGGCCCGAATCAGTTTTGCCACTTACTCCTCCCTGCCTCCTCTCCTTTGGAAGCTCCCTCCACACTGCCAGGAGGGGGCTGCTCAGCTGCGTTGGTGGGTCAAGCTCCCTCAAATCGCCCTTCTCACCCCTTGGCCCCTTAGAGGAACTCACTCCATCAGGTCTGTCATATCTCTGATCCCCCCACCCCCTCCAAATTCACCTGTCCCCTTATTTCCAGCCACGATAACTTAGAGGCATAGTGTTGGAGTCTAGACTCCCTGGTCTTCCTGGTCCTTCTCTCCAGCGCCCAGCCTTTGACATCGGCACAGGCTGATCATCCATTCTGACTTCAGGTAATGAGGTTATCTCCGACTCCCCTCTTCCATACAATGGAAACCAATTTGCTTTTTGAGACGTCCCATGAATGAGGCAGTGTTCAGCAGGCTTGAGATCACTTTCAAAGAGGGCTGAGACCAGAGCTGCTAGGATGGAGCAGACACCAGATCAACGTACGTATGTACGTACGTACGTACGTCATACGTACATACGTCTCTCTGTCCACTGACGTAGTTTCTCACCCCACCTTTCCCTGACAAGAGGACCTGACTTGTTCTCTTCCACTCTGAGCCCGATATTAAAGGAACAGTGACTTTGCTGTGATTGGTCACCTGCTCTGTGCAGGATCGTCACCTGCCCGATGCTGTTGCTTCATGTTCATCCTATTACGTCATCCCACGGGGGTGGGCATGACAATCCGCAGTTATCCCTTTACAGATGAGGGCGCCGAAGCTCACTTGCCCGGGTATGCACAGCTGGAGAGTGGCAGAGGGCCGGGGCCCCAACTTATGTGCCTAGTAGGGTTGAATGTCAGGGTAGGAAACAATGGGGCTAGATGCCATGTGCCCCACATGATCCCACCATGGGGGTGGAGAAATGGAGGCAGAAGGATGCCCTGAGCAGCTCGTCAGAGGGTGGGGGTGTCCTTGGATGTCTGAACGTGAGCAGGGCCTTGGAAATGAGGGGGTGGGCTTCTCCAGGAAGGTGAGAGTGCGTACTAGAAGTACTGTCACCTCCAGGGAGGGGAGAGTAGAGTGCAGGGGTCAAGAGCTAGGCACTGTGTGCCCTGAGTGAGCAAATAATACACAGGACACACGTACTGTCTGTACATTGAGGGGTTCCTGCTGTCTTGGGTGGGGGCATGGAGGTCAGTATGCAGCAGTGTTCATTTCCTTTGGTCTTGTCTGAGTTCCCACATGGTGCCAGGTCACTTAGCACGGATGGGAAGTTAGGCCAACTATTGTCTCCTTCAAGAAGTGGAGGGAATGCTAGGTGGCCCGAGGGATGAGGGCCAGCCTTCCTCCAGCCCCATTCTCATTCCCTGGCGGATGGCCTGAGCCCAGTTGAGAGAAGGCAGCTGCTTAATGCTTCGCATAGCACACACCCTGCCCCACACGGGGTAGCTAAATTTGTCTTCCACTGCCAGTGCTTGGCTCCCCCCAGCTTGGGGAGAAGGCAACAGCTGCCATCTGGCCATCCAGGGCCACAGCTGGCTAGGGAACAGAATGTCCGGCTTAAGGATGGGATTCTATTGTGAGGTGAGTAAAGGCAGGGATCCAGCCAGTTTCCAGATGGGGCAGGACCAAGATGGTTGCCACACTGGGCCTGAAGAGGGAGATACTTCTGCCAGCACTGGGTGGGACCTCAGTCTCTGTGCAGCCTCCTCCTCTGGAGGTGGTTTGAGGGGAACAGGCTTCTGGCACCAAGGCCCCGATGTGGCCAGGTTCTTGATGCTCTGAGTCTTGAGTCTTTGCCACGGCCCAGAAATACTGCCATTCATGTCCCTGAGCCTGACACCTGCCCTCTGCCCACACAAGGATCTCATGGGTGTTACGGCCTTTCATGTCCCCTGGAGGGAAAGTCACATGGTGACTGAAATAGGTCCAGAGGGCCCCTCCTGTGGCCACCGCTATACTGGTACTTCTGATTGCAATTCCCCTG